GCAGCTGTTACAGACCTGCATCTGTTGACACCATGTGTTCCTATCCCAGGCTGCTAGAAGAAATAGGGGAGTGGGTGAATTGATACCTTGTCTGCCTATCAGTGCGAACGTCCTTTTATGTACATATGTTTGTAAAGCTCTTTAGCCCCCTTCAAGATTAAAGGCTCTGTATAAATATAAGCTTTCGATTTTAGTACATGTTTGTAATACATGTGGTACAGTCCTAAATATGTATTTAGCTGATAGGCACTGTTCTTGTCTATTGTACAAATATTGACTTTAAAAGTATAAATATGTATTTAACCATCAGACCAGAAAAACACTGAAGCAGTTACTTCTCAGGTAGAGATATTAATATTGTATAAACCTATATATACATATGTTTACATTCTACTACATCATTGCAGAGCATTTCTTTTTTAAAAATGAAATGATAGCCCCAACAAACTAAGGCAGTTCTTGATACTCTCCCTTCGAGGTGAGTCTTGATTTTTAATTTTCATGCGTTTCACTCTCTCCTAACTTTATATAAATATGATCTGTCGCGGTAAGACTAAAATGTAGAGTCAGCTTTTGTAAAGTATGAGAAATCCTTAGGCTGGGGAGATACTTTTCCCTTAAAAAAATTTTTTTTATTATGGTACGCTAAAGTAGAGACAATAATATAAGTTTTCACGTACCTGTCACTCAGTGAAGAGCTATTTGGTAGTCTTTTCTTAGTTCCTTTTAAAACAAATCGCACTGACATCTGGAAGCCTGGAGAATCTGAAGAATAAGGGAAAACTTGAGAATAAAATGTAGTAGTAAGACCCACTACTGTGACCGAATAAAGGGGATGTCTCATGAAAAAAAAAAACAAAAAACTTAAATCACATTGACAATTTTATAAACACATTAAGGAGAATTTAGAAAATAGGAAAAAACCCCACACAATCCCATCATTCTAAAAATAATTATCATCCCATTTTGCTATGGTTTTTTTTTTTTATTTTGTTCCCCCCTCCTCCCAACACGTCTGTAGATACAGTGTTGTAACACTTACTGTGCACTTACTATGTGCCAGGTACTGTTCTAAGGCTTACCATGGATTTAATCCTTACAACAGACTTTATAGAAGAGGTTATTATTACCCCATTTTACTGATGAGGAAGCTGAGGCACATAGAGGTCAGTAACTTACTTAAGTGGCTAGAAAACTGACTGAATCTCTATTCTGTCAGAGTCAGATTCTATTAGATTCACATTCTCCAAATCTGGCTTCTGAGTCTGTCCTTAACCACCACACTGTTTTGCATCTCATAGTTATTATGGTATACAGACAAGTTTGTTATACCACTTCTTCAAATTTAGTATATCATGGGCATTTTAATATGCTATTTGTGGTCTTCATAGCCATCATTTTGTAAGGCTGTACAGAATACTAATGATGACCTTATTAGCCAGTTTACTTCCCTCCAAAAGAAGGAAAAGTTTTTATCATGACATTTATTTTTTAACTGTTTATCTTAAAATATTTTAGATTTATAGAAAGGTTACAAAGATAGTACAGAGAGTTCCCATATACCTAATGTTAACATCTTACATTATTCTTGTTACTCAAATAATCTTTTATGTAGGCAGAAAGAGGTATGTTAAAATATATCTAAATAAAACCATTGATTTTTCTAATGTTGACATTTTGTATAACCATGGTATAATTATCAAAACTTAGAACTAACATTGGTACAATACTAATAAGTAAAATACAGACTTTGTTTTGGATTTCACCAGTTTTTCTACAACTGTCCTTTTTCTGTTCCAGAATACCACATTGAATTTAGGTGTCAATGACATTTATGTTTGTGTTATAAATGATGTTCATCTTTCTATATTGTTTCTGCTAACTGCAGTGGCACTAGTCTGGAATATGCTTCCTTAATTTCTCTAGTAAAGGAAATTATGTGAACTGTATTTTTAAAAAATAAACGTACTAGCTATAAGGACAAGTTACTTAATTCCTCTATACCTTAGTTTTCTCAAGGCAATAATAACAGTTGCTTCTGAATTAATAATTTGAGAACTTTTTATAATTGGAAAAATTGAGACTATATGAAGTTAAGTGATTGGTTCAAGATTATATAGCTAGAATAAAGCTGAGATTTGGATCAAGGTAGGATGGTATTCCCCAGACTAACCTCTTAACTATTGTCAGTATTTGTCCATTTAGTATAGTACAGCTTGTGATAGATGTTCAATTAATGGTAGCTATTATTCTTGTTATTTTTTAAAAAATAAAATAGTTGAATGATGTTTAGGACTGTTATTCTGTGATCCCTAGAGATAAGTCATAGACAGTGTTCTAGCCCTTGGTGTTGACTATTTTCCAAGAATCATTTAAAAAATGAAATGACTATGGAACCAGCAAATATTTATTACTCCCATATTATGTGTTGGGATCCTGCCAGGCACTGGAGATGATATAATGGTTTAGGCTGGCAAGCTAAAAACGGTCCTAAGCAATATATGATTAATTATCGAATGAATTCTCTACATGAAGGTCTTAGTAGGAGATCGGAGAAGAAAGGGGTCACTTGAGGCTAGGTAAAGCTTTACTGAGGAAATGGAATTTGAATGAATCTTTTTGGAATGGGTAAGATTTGGATACGCTGAGAGGAGAGAAAGGGGCAAATTTTGTATGTTGAAGTTAATATAATAGATTGCCATTTGGAGTAATTGATTCATCAAACCCATAGACATTGTTAGTTTTGTATGTGTGGGGACATTGAAGCTCAATAAAGTTATTTTTCCAAGGTCACACAATTAGCAAGTGATAGGGCCTAGATATGGATCGAAGTTAGTTTGACGCCAAAGCCCATCTTCTCCATTATGTGCCCTATTGTTCAATTAGCAATAAAATCTAAATTTCAGTATAAGTTGAGCAATAGATGCCTTCTTAGATGTTTATCCATATGCTCACTCAAAACTTAATCTCTTCTGGTAGGGAGTCTGACTATACAAAGGCTGGGATAGCACTCTCCATTCTGTAATGGTACTTTTTAAAGGAGGAGGGAGGTGGTCGATGAGGAACACACTTTGGAAAGACATTGATAAAGAGTAGTGTGTTCTTGGTGCTGCTGTGTTGACACCTAATTAGAAGTCAATATTGCAAGCATAATGACCTAGCCAATTGCTGAACTGACTGCCCAAGTGACACAGTTAGAGTCCCCAGGTAATAACAAAAGGTAAGAGTATTATTTGCCTGCACAGTGCCACACAGACAAGATGTTTGCATTAGCATGCAAATGGTGAAGTAGATTCGTCAAGGCTTGTCTCTAAGCTACTTCTAGCCTAGGTGGCTAAGGTTAATATATCATAAAATTTGGTGTAAAACCCAATCTTCCTAACTACAAATGCATTTAGAGGAAATAGCTTTTCCTTCCTGAAAAACAAGAGATGTTAGGTTAGAGGGCCACGTGAGAAAGCAGGTGTAAAATATTTCTCCCCACACAGGCATTATATTACCCAGCTTCTTAAAAACCATGACCAAAGTTATCCCGATATTTGCAGTTTCTCCGTGCTATATTTTGGAAGATCTGTTTCTCCTTCCTTTCTGTGTCTTTAATGAGCAGATAGAGTAATACCTTATCTCGGAAGGTGATTGGATTTTTTTCTGTGTATTATATCCATTTTGATTTGTATTTGGCCAATGGTATGATATATTAAATAGCTTATATTTATCTGTGGGTGTTTCATATATATATTTCTTAATGCTGAGAATCACAAATAGCTGTGTGGAAAGCTTCAACCAGCCTGATTACAGTGGATGTGCAATTGGATTGAGGAATGTGTACTCAGAGCTTATGATCACTGGCCCGGTTGAGTCTGGGTGATGCATGTGGCTTTCCAGGGATGCTGCTATTTACATCTGTTAATGGCCCTTCTTGATGGCCAGCTCCCCAATGAGGTGATATGCAGCAGCCTGGGGATGAGGGACCAAGGCTGCAGATGTGGCTGGGCTCCATTAGGCAGGACCAGGAATGTTCATCTGGTAGGCTTTGTGTTTGGGAGCAAGTGGAGGGGGTGGGAGTGTGGGGGGCGGGGGAGACAGAAAGAAATGGGAAAAAAAAAAAAGAATGGAAAACATTACTTATCTGGGTATAGGGAAACAGACAGGCAGGCATAAAAAACTGCAGCTGTACCTGGGGTATGAGTGAATAGAAAAAGAAATGGAACTAGCAGATAAACAAGTAGAAGGACTGACTAGATCTCATATAGAAGGAGATTAAAAGAAGAGAGGACTGGGAGGGTTTGGGAAGAGACATGTCCCCCCTGCCTTTTGAGTCAATATCATTTGTGTGGCTGGTCAGATGCTACTGAACAGAGAGTAGAGATATACATATATCGTTCCTTGCATGCTTTGGTTTTCTGGTGCTGGGAGAAAGTGTCAAGAGATGCTCCCAAGGATGCGGTGTTGAGCTCTAGTGAATTCTTGCAGAAATGGAAGATACCTAAAGCAAGCCAGTAAAGAACGCTGCTATTACTCCTGTCAAATGCTAGAGAATAGTAAAAGGATCCAGGATCACAAAAGTGGTATAGTTCATGGCAGGTGATTCTCTTGCTGCTCTCCTCACATGTGTAAGAAGTTTTTCAGAAAGACTCTCACAGAAGATGGACCTTAGTGTCTTAGTAGATAGGGTAGTAAATTAGGGAGTTTGGGATTTAATTCCCTGCACCATGGCATTCTTCCGCATATATCCTGAGTGCATTTAAACTTTGGTTTTTCCATCTTTAAGCAGATTGAAACAACTGTGAAATACATAGTAAACCAACTGTTCTCACCATAACCTAGAGAAGTGTGCTAGAATGTTTGTTTTAGCTTCCCACAGGAAACTTGGCTCTTCAGCACTAAATATCTTTACATGAAGGCTGTGTCTAAGGTATAGTCTGATACATTCAGGGAACCTGAAAAAAAATTCTGCATGTAAGAAGCTTCTATTTATTTGTTTCTCTATGCCTTTGCAGATTGGCATGGTAGCTTGGAAAATGACCCTTAAAAGTCCTGAATACCCAGAAGGCCGAGATATCATTGTTATTGGCAATGACATCACATACCGAATTGGGTCCTTTGGGCCCCAGGAGGATTTGCTGTTTCTCAGAGCTTCTGAGCTTGCCAGGGCAGAGGGTATCCCACGCATCTTTGTAGCAGCCAACAGTGGAGCAAGAATTGGACTGGCAGAGGAAATTCGTCATATGTTTCACGTGGCCTGGGTAGATCCTGAGGATCCTTACAAGGTACAGACTAAGCAAAGATAAAACTTCAAGACAATACATGGTTGTGTGTGTGCGCGCATGCACGTGTGTGTCCACACGAATAAATAGGTTGGGGGAAAGGTAGAGGTTTAAGTTCAAAAGTCAGGACTTAGAGTGAGCCATAACCATGTTGGAGACAAATTGTCTCTCAGTATATTCACCTAGTTTTTTTTCCTCCAGCTTTGAAATAGATTGCTGTTTTCTTGGGTTGAACACAAGAGGAAATAGATATGCATTCAGCATGAGACATGCTAAGCCAGAAATATCTATCTTTAAACTATTCCACTGTGGCTTCCAGAACTTATGGTCAGTCATTTATAAAAGCCCTTATATCCTCAGCTTCTTCTCTGATTGTTCTCTACTTGAAATCTGCCTGTCCTCTAAAGACCCTGCTTTCCCTGTAGCCCTCTTAAAGAGTGACTGATACCTCTCTTCTCTCTTTCCCTGTCCCACTGAGCCTGGAGAGGCAAGAGTGTCTTCTTTGTGCCTCATCACTGCTTCCAGACCCTTCTGCCACACTGTTCTCTCTGAAAACGCCCATCTTCGAATCTCATGCCATCAGACTGTGCTAAACCACCACTTACTAGAGTGGGCCCCACCTCTTTGGTCACTCCTCATTCTTTGCATGTTTTAGTTGCCGGCACATTGTCACTTGCTCCAATACAACGAGCCCTGTTACAATTCTTGGTGACTTCTATATCCATGTAGATGATCCATCCCATAATCCAGCCTCTTAAATCCTTGACTTTCTGTCCTCCGCCCCAGCTCAGCCTCTTCTTCCCCATGATCTTAATTTCAACCATCCCTTTCTTTGCCTCCATCCTCCTTACATCCTCAGCTTACATTCTATGGTCAATCATAGGTTAATCATTATAATCGTATTATAATTACCACCTTCCCTACACCCTCAACTCTCTTTGCTTCTCTCCTCATTCTGCTTACTCTGTCTCTCTTTTTTTTTTTCTTTAAAGATTTTATTTGCTTATTTGAGAGAGAGAATGAGAGAGAGAGAGCATGAGAGGGGGGAGTGTCTGAGGGAGAAGCAGACTCCCCGCTAAGCAGGGAGCCCGATGCGGGACTCGATCCCAGGATTCCAGGATCATGACCTGAGCCGAAGGCAGTTGCTTAACCAACTGAGCCACCCAGGCGCCCTGCTTACTCTGTCTCTTTACAAAAACCTTGTTTAAATCCAATATTCTCCATTTACTCACATATGTGAACCAGCATAGCTGGATGCTGATAGAAAAAAATATCCAGTGCTATAGACTGGTCTTACTTTAAATTCGTTTATGAACCTCCCAAATGACAATTTCACATCTTCTCCTCTCTCCGTAAACTTCCAAAATCCTCTTGCCCCATCATCCCTCTTAGCTGACAACCTTGCTCCCCAATTCACTGAGGAATTGGAAGGAACAAGAAGAGGGCATTCATAAGCTCCCACATATCTGCATCTGTGCCTTTATTCTCTGCATCTCCCCTGTACTTTGGATGAACAGTCCCTGCTCCAATCTAAGGCCAGTCACTCTTATACGCTTAACCCTTTCCTTCTTGCATCCTCATTTTTTCCCTCTACTAAATCTACCCAGTTACCTCACAAATAGCACTCCATTCACTATCCTTATTGACAGCAAAGCTTCTTAAAAGCATTGTCTTCTTGCTATCTCCAGATACTCTCCTCCCATTCCTTTGGAACCCACTTCAGTTAGGCTTGCACCCTCACCAGCCCACTGAAGCTGCTTTGTCAGGGTCACCATGGATTCCATACTGTGAAATTCTGTCACGACCTTCAGTCTTCATCTGAGTGTCTCAGCAGCCTTTGACACAGTTGGTCACTCCTTCATCCTTGAAATACTTTCTCCTCTTGGCTTCTAGGCCCCAGAGTCTCCTTTTATCTTCCTAAGTGCTCCTTCTCAGTTTCCTTCACTGAGACATCTTTTAAATGTAAGAGTGTTTCAGGGGATGATAGAAATATTCTATATTTTGATTGTGGGGGTGATTTCCCAAGTATCCACATTCATCAGAACTCATCACACTACAGTACTTAAAATCAATGAATTTTATTGCATGTAAATTACGCTTCAATAGAATTCATATTAAAAGTGTATGGAAATTGTTAGTGACTGTGTTTCTTTTTGGGGTGATGGAAATGCCCTAGAATCAGAGAATGGTGATGGTTGCACAACATCAGAATATAAGAAAAACTACTGAATTATTCATTTTAAAATGACCAGTTTTGGGGTGCTTGGCTGGCTCAGTTAGTGGAGCATGCGACTCTTGATCTCAGGGTCGTGAGTTCAAGCCCCACATTAGGCGTAGAGCTTACTTAAAAAAATATGTCCAGTTTTATGTTACATGAATTTTAACCCAAGGCCCTACATAGCTTGGCCTTCCAATACCACCTCCCTCATTTCTTGCTGCAGACAGTCTCACTCCACGCTGGCTCCACAGGCCTGCTTACTTTTTCTGGAACTGCATGAGGCACACTCATGCCTCCACACTTCTGCACCTACAGTTCCTTCTGCCTAGAATTCCACCCCCCACCCTCCCCACCCTGTCCTGATATCATCATGTTTTGTTTCCTTCTCTTCTTCAAGGCCTTACTCAAATGCCACTTTCAGTGAAGTCTTCCCTGGACTTTTCTTTCTACAAGTTCAACTCTTGGAATGCTCTTTTTTCTTTTCCTTAAACGCTATTCTCATTAATATTGTATGTCTTATTTATGTGTGTTTTTTCCATCTCTTTCACTAGAACATAGTAAGTTCCATAAGGCTGGGAAATTTTGTCTGTTTTGTTCATTCCTGTTTTTCCAGTGTCTAGAACACTTGCCCATAAGAGGCACTCAGTAAATACGTGGTGACTGACATACTAATGACCCTGAGCACTACAAGGTTTTTGTCATAAGTCGTAGAAATTCAATGACAGATTCATGTCTCTTGCATGTTGTGCTCACTGTGGGACAAATTCATTGAGTTAAACACTGGCATAATTTCTCACCGTATTTAAAACGTTTTCTGCTGCTTGCTTACTTTTTTTTTTTGACTGCGTGACTAATTCACTTAAGTTCAACACATATATCCTATAAACCTACTTTGTGAGTGTGTGTATAAATAATTACAAAAAGTTAGTATAATTTTTTAAATGTAAATAGGAATTATAAGTTGTTTATTGAAAACAGCAAAAGGCATGAATTCAGTGTTCACTGATGATTATCACTGCATAGAGTTCTGATTTTAATATTGCCTTCCCAGTTTTATGATCCTTTCAATTATCTCTTACCCATTTATATTTTGATGGTACTATGGATTTGAGAAAGTAAAGAATAGTACTCCAAACAGTTCTTTTATTTTGTGTTGATATCTTTAATAGAGGTGTCACAAAAGATCAGAAAATGACCCTTTAACCCAGATGAAAATGAAATGGATGGAATATCCTTGCAGTTGTAGCTACAAGATACCTTGTTTCAAGGACAGTCAGTGACTGGAGAAATAGGCACCTCCCTCTTTCAAAGGAGAACTGTCTGTGCTGGTATTCCATTAGACAGTAACTCTAAGAAGCGATGTGGCAATTTAAAGCTAGCTTTGGGACAAGCTGTGTTATGCATGCTCTGTGGTGTCTTCTGGTTATGTGCTGATGGCAAATAATGAGTTAGAAACTATTTGTGCTCCACAGGGATACAAATATTTATATCTGACCCCTCAGGATTATAAGAGAGTCAGTGCTCTCAACTCTGTCCATTGTGAACATGTAGAGGACGAAGGAGAATCCAGGTAAGTACATATGTAGTAGAATAATTTGGCTATGGATTAAAGATGGGAGAGTATGATCATTTCTTCCTCACTGTGCCGCTGATCATGACCTTGAAGAGCAATGAAGATTGCTTGTTACATAATCTGCAAGTCTTAGGTTTGTATCATAGGTCTACCACTAATTAGCTGAAGACCTTATTGATTGAGGTTTTTAAAGTTTTTTTTATTATTTGAGAGAGAGAGAGTGTGTGAGAGGAGGGAGGGGCAGAGGGAGAAGCAGACTCCCTGCCGAGCAGGGAGCCCGATGTGGGACTCGATCCCGGGACTCCAGGATCATGACCCGAGCCGAAGGCAGTCGCTTAACGAACTGAGCCACCCAGGTGCCCCGATTGATTGAGGTTTTTAAATTATGTTTATAATATTTATTCATTTTAGAAAAGTTGGAACATGTGAATAATTATGAAGAAGAAATAAAAACCAGCTACAATCCTACCGAGAGAGAACAATTTTTTTAAAGATTTATTTATTATTTCAGAGAAAGAGAGAGGGTGCAAGTTCAAGCAGGGGGAGGGGCAGAAGGAGAGGGAGAGAGAGAAAATCTCCAGCAGACTCCCCGCTGAGCAGAGTCCCACATGGGGCTCGATCTCACGACCCTGATGTCATGATCTGAGCTGAAATCAAGAGTCGGACTCTTAACCAACTGAGCCACCCAGGTGCCCCGAGAGATCACAATTATTAATGTATATTATATTCTTGCTGTCTTTTCTGTATATATATACCTTCTTTCTACATAATCAGAATCATAATAGAAAAACTCTTTTGTAATTTGTTCTTTTCACTAAAAACTATTTTGGGGGGAATTTTGTATATTCTTAAAATATTATATGAGAATATGATATTTAATGGCTTCATAGTAATTTATCATAATAAATATTTTATTTTGAACTTTCAGACTATTTGCACTATTTACTGCTATATTCCTGGGCTAAATTTTTTTTTATAAAAACTTTTAGGAATATCTCTCATTATTCCCTTTGGGCTAATTTCTAAAAGTGGAATTACTGGCCAAAAATATGTCTATTTTAAAGATATTTTTGATAAATTCAAATTGCCCTCCCAAGTCTGCACTCCCAGCAGCAATATGTGATAGTATGTTCTTCCCCTTTAATTTTTCTCCACCCTTGCCAATATTAATTATTGTCAATTAATAAAAGAAGATTAAAACAGCAATTATTTTAACTGGTACTTTTGAATACTAGTGAGGTTGAACATTTTTACAATCTATCTGCAAGTATTTTCCAGATTGCTAATCAACTACTCCAATACCATTTATTGAATAATGCATGCTGTCCTCACTTTTATAATAATCTCAACTCAGTTACTAGGCTTTGTATTGGTTTTTTTGTGCTGTCTGTTCTTGAGCTAATGCCACATTATTTTAACTATTCTAATGGGACAGATTTCCCCACATTCTTAATTTTTTCCCCCATGTTTTATTAGCTATTTTTATCTTTTTCTTTAGATTCATTTTTTTAATTACCAAAAACTTTCCATAATGATTTGATTCAAGTTACATCTATAAATTAATGTAGGAAGATCTGACAACTTCATAATATTAACTCTTCCCAGCAAGAAACATGGAACATGCTTTTCCATTTATTCAGGTGCATCTTTTAAAGTCTTGTGATTTTCTTCATATAGGTTATGCCAGAAGTTCCCAGTCTTTCTTGATTCATAACACCCTTGCTGTCTCAGTAATGTTTTCATAGCACCTTTGGGCTAAAAGTTATACCCAATATTTCTGTTTATTAAGTAGTCAGACCCAAACAACTTCGTAAGTATTTATACTCTAACAGTAATTATTTGGGAATTATCATACACATAAATGGAAAGGTTTTTTTTTTATTTTTAAATAATTACAATTAACCAATTAAGTAATTTTACTTACTAATGGGATATCTCCATCTATACGAAATCTCAAGACTTAGATTCAGCTTGGATGTCGCCACCCTTGTTTCTTGTTCTGCATTGATTTTTGTACAGAACTTGTTTTTTGTTTTTTTGTTGTTGTTGTTGTTGTTTTTCCACAGAAACTGAAAACCCAGCTTTGCAAAGATAGGACATTGTCAAAAGGAATGTAGTATTATCTAAAGTTTAATTATGAACTACCTAAATCTAGTAGTTCATGTGGAATCCAACAGATGTTCCATATCAGAGTGTTTCCTCTCAGATATTTAAAATATCCCGCAGCGGGCGCCTGGGTGGCTCAGTTGGTTAAGCGACTGCCTTCGGCTCAGGTCATGATCCTGGAGTCCTGGGATCGAGTCCCGCATGGGGCTCCCTGCTCGGCAGGGAGTCTGCTTCTCCCGCTCACCCTCCCCCCTCTCATGCTCTCTCTATCTCATTCTCTCTCAAATAAATGAATAAAATCTTTAAAAAAAAAAAAATATCCCGCAGTGCCCCTCGCAGTTCACCGTGACACCAGAGGCACCATGTGGGTATAATGGGATTTTTGTCATTTTTTAAATGTTTATTCCTAAATATTTTTCTTGCTATTCTGAATGGGATTCCCCCTCCCCATTATATTTTTTAACACTTTATTACTGATATTTTTAAAAGCTGTTGATTTTGTGGGGCGCCTGGGTGTCTCAGTAAGTTAAGCATCTGCCTTCAGCTCAGGTCATGATCCCGGGGTCCCAGGATCAAGCCCCACATCGGGCTCGCCATCAGCAGGGAGTCTGCTTCTCCCTCTACCCTCCCCCGTCTCGTGCTCTCTGTCTCTCAAATAAATAAATAAATTCTATTTTTAAAGAAGAAGCTATTGATTTTGCATATTGCTTTTCTTAAAGCAAAACATTTTTCTTCTCTCAGCTACAGTTTCCTCATCTGTAAAATGAAGATCAAGTGAATTAATATATGTAAAGTCCTTAGCACAGCACTGAGTACATAGTAAGCAGTCAAAAATCCTGGCCACTATTATCTATAATAATGGAGAGGATATTACCTACTATACTGGATTGCTGTGAGGATCAAAAATCATAATGTATTTATGAATGTGTTTTGTTAATTGTATTACACTACACAAAGATTTTTATTACAAATAACATAAAATTTAGTACTACTTCAAACAAAGATAGTCTTAATGGTAGAAGACTCAGATCATAGAGCAGAAAATGGGAAATTTGTATTCTTTTTCATGTAATACAAAGGGAGAAGATGTCACTTAACAAGTCATGAATACTGAAGCGGTATGTAGTCCTTAGGAGGGAAAAGATCTGCTTTGCAGGGAAAACTGACTGGACCTGAGTGTTCGTGACTACATGGCATGTGAGCCTTCCAGAAAGGACACATTAAGCCCCCCTCCAATTACTGTGGCCCTTTAACCCCTTAAGGGAGATTAGCTTTGCGTGCAACATAACTCTAGAATTTAGAGCCTAGATGCAGAGCAAAAGGAAGAATTGGAGAATTCCTGGGAGAGGCTAAAAATAGAAAGACAAGGGAATCTGGGAAGCAAAGATGCAAAGCCAGAGACCAAGGGCAAGGACAAAGGGAAGGAATTGGTGGAAGGTTAGAAGTAAAGAAAGAAGGGAACAGAGAAATATGAGGGCAAAAAAGTAGTTTAAGAGCCACCATGGGATATTTATTTATTATTTCAGTGTATTAAACCATGCCCAGTGCCAAGCTTTCTGGGTACACACAGAACAGTAAATAATACACGCCCATCTCTACTTCCAACTTTGTATTTTTCCTTTCTTTTATTAGTTGCATTCCCCATCTCCCACTTCCCATTATCAGCTATCACTCCTAAATTCCCTGCCAAGAAGACAGATGAGTGGCTCCCACTGGATCCACAGGATGCTTTCTGGACAATTTGGCCAGTATTTCATTTCCACACACATTCCATTTGCCCCTCCAGAACACTAGAGCCAGGACCGCTCCTGTAGGCACGTGATATTTACGAAAGAGCAGGAATGGGCATGTACTATTTTGATCTTACCCTTAGTCCTGTCTTGGAAAGAGAAAGGATTTTTTGACTTGAGAAATTGGGCTGAGCATTCTCACTTGGCCTCTGAATTTTTTTTTTTTATTATTCCTTTGTAACATTTATCTAAAATTGTTGACTTAATGGCTGTTGCTGATTATAGAGAGATCTACATTGACCCCACTTTTAAGAAACTTGTCCTAGAAAGTAAGAGAGGGCATCTAAAATCAGAGCGCCATATATGTGTCAAGCCCTTTCTTTGTTGCTTTAATTTAACTCTCATGTCAACCCTTAGAGGTAGACATTATCTCCATTTTACGGAAGTTACTATTATCCCCAGAGTTACATGGCTGCATGTGTCAGAGCAGGGATTTAAGCCTGTCTACTTCATTTCAGAGTTTACTCTTTCTGCTATACTATATTGCTTCCAGCAAAAATAGGCACCAAGCTAAAGAGGAAAGATAAATGAATGAAAAGTATAAGAGTATAGAGCACTGGCTTTAAATGAGCTTTCAGGATGCTTTTAGCAGCCTTTTAATGGTGATTGTTATTTTAATGGATTGTTACTCTTGGGTTTAACCTTTATAATTTGGCATGGCTGTATCCAATAGGTACAAGATAACTGATATTATTGGAAAGGAAGAGGGACTTGGAGCAGAGAACCTTCGAGGCTCTGGAATGATTGCTGGCGAATCCTCATTGGCCTATGATGAGATCATCACCATCAGCCTGGTAAATCTTAATGGAATATAACATTTTTGAAGAACTGACTGTGTGACTAGGAGTTATTTTTGTCCCATCTCTGTATTCAGTCCCAAATGAGAACATTTCTTAAAAATTATATATCTACAATTTGATTTTAACTGTGTATGATAATGTAAATAATTTAATTTCCCAGATAAGCCTAGCGCCTCATTTTAGCCTTTAGTTTAACTTATTTCTCTAAACAGAGCTGTAACAGCTTGAATTTCTTTTTGTACTACTTTCCTTGTTCTTACCTCTAGTGTAGATGCCAAGCATCTGTGAAACAGGCAAAAATATAAGAGAAGTAAAGGGCCCGTGAACCTTTAAGTGTCTAATCCTTGAATCATTCAGCGATTTCTGTACCTTTTCTTTGACCAGGGAATTGTGGGGCTTAATATTATTATTATTTTTTTAAAGATTTTATTTATTTATTTGACAGAGAGAGAGATAGAGCAGGAACACAAGCAGGGGGAGTGGGAGGGGGAGAAGCAGGCTTCCCGCCGAGCAGGGAGCCCGATGTGGGACTCGATCCCAGGACCCTGGGATCATGACCTGAGCCGAAGGCAGACGCTTAACGACTGAGCCACCCAGGCGCGCATGGGTCTTAATATTATTAATCAAACTTTGCAGAAAGCAATATTTTTTTCTGTTAATGTGGATTTTATACATCTGTGCCTTAGTTCTTACACTTTGGAAAGGACATAAATATGTGACATGTAGAATTTATTCTCTCTCTCTCTTTTTTTTTTAATTTATTCTTTTTGAAGGTTACATGCCGGGCCATTGGGATTGGGGCTTACCTTGTCCGGCTGGGACAGAGAACCATCCAGGTTGAAAATTCTCACTTAATTCTGACCGGAGCTGGGGCCCTCAATAAAGTAAGTTTCTAGGGTCTGGGAGAAGTATGTGAAGCTGTTTGAAGATGATTCTGAATTCTTAATTCAAGACCCTGATTAAGGAGAAGCCATTCAGGCCATGCCTCCCTCAGTCTATTTCCCTCTCCCTCCATCTTTCCTGCCCATCGCCTTGCTTACCTATTCATTCATTCATTTGTTGTATTCAACAAATATTTTGAGGACCTACTATATGCCAGGCACTGTTCCAAGAAGCCCTGTGGATATGTTCATGAACAAACCATATAGAATCCTTGCTCTGAAGGGTTTACATTCTAGTGTCTTTCTAGAAAGACAGAGAATTAATTGAATGCTTTCTTTTTCTGCCCTCCTTCCCTTTCTCTCATTTATGAATAAGTGAAGAGATCTGTTCCCAGATGCGGAGCTGTCTCTGAAACATCTTCTGAACGTGTTGACAATATCAAGTTTTAATGTTCTGAGAAATTTGTGAATGTACCTCTTAAAAAGGACACTTAACGGTGGTCCCTTGTACATAGAGGAAGTAATTGGTAAACATTGAATGGAGAGATGGGTGGACAGATGCATGGATGGATTGCTGGGAAAGAGTATGACAAAGATTTATCATCCCTTTAAAAGAAATTCTTGTGCAAGATGCCTGGGTTGCTCAGTCGATTGGGTGTCTGACTCTTGATTTCAGTTCAGGTCATGATCTCAGGGTTGTGGAATCAAGCCCTGCGTCAGGCTCAGTGCTCAGTGGGGAGTCTGCTTGAGGTTTCTCTCTCTCCCTCTGCCTCTACCCCTCTCCACCGTGCTCACCCTCTCTCTTTCTCTCTCTCTCTCTCAAATAAGTCCTTAAAAAAGAAAGAAAGGAAGAAATTCTGTGCCTTTTCAATCTGAGCTCAGAGGGGCTTTTCCAAAGGGGAAAAATAAAAAAAAACAGTTGGTGAGGTCACTGCTTGTAAGAGTGAAAACTAAGAATACCTGGATATACAAAAAATGACGTAGTTCTGACTTCTCTGCAGACATAGGAAAATGATTTTCTCTCCAGAGCCAGGAATATGTAATAGTCTGGGACTGGCTGGCTGACCTTGTGCAACTCATATAACCTCTCAGCTCCTCCGCTTTCTTTGTCAAAGGGGGATAATTACAAGCTTAAATGACGTGGTGGAGATCAAATGGGAAAACATAAGTAAAAGTACCTAGCACCTGGCATAAAGTGTTGGTCCTTATTACAACTTCAGTTCCCTTTTCTTCTCTTATACATGATTTGGTGATTTATCTTGAGTTATATGCACACTGAATTGTATCGGATACTGGGTTTACTAAACTTGCACAAACTTTATCAAGCCTTGACTTTCCAGTGTAAGGATAGGAATCAAGTGTTCTGTTACCTTGTTTTTTAAAAGTTGATACATCCGGGCACCTGGGTGGCTCAGTTGGTTAAGCGACTGCCTTCGGCTCAGGTCATGATCCTGGAGTCCCGGGATCGAGTCCCGCATGGGGCTCCCTGCTCGGCAGGGAGTCTGCTTCTCCCTCTGACCCTCCTCCCTCTCATGCTCTCTGTCTCTCATTCTCTCTGTCTCAAATAAATAAATAAAATCTTAAAAAAAAAAAAAGTTGATACATCCATTGGTCCAAATAGCTTTTGGAGTTGTCAGAAATGAGGAGAATCGTTTGATGTGATCAGTTTGCTCTCTACATTCATATAAGGTCTGTATCCTTCTCTGGGCTTGCTTTTCCCTCCAAGGAAAGGCAAAGCAGTGCTAACAATGGCAAACTTGGATACCCCGCTCCCTTTTTTGGAAAGTGGCTTAGAAATAAAGATTGTGAACTGCCACTACTGAAGGAGACTATTGCAGTGGGAGAAACTGCTGAGTCTTAATTTTTTTTAAGTTGCTCTTTTGGATACCTTCTTAGGACAAGCTATTGATGAATGTTGAAAGAATTGTAGGTGCAGTTATCTGTAAGGGTGCAATTTAAAGAAGACACCTATATTCCTATTATGTTCCCATACCTGGACAAAGAGCTAATTTCTGAAATGTATTTCATTACATTTTCTTATTTTCTCCCTAGTAACATGTTATACACAAAGAATAATACAGAAATACAATAATACAGTAATACAAAAAGCAAAGGTTTTGTTGCTGGGGGTTTTTGTTTGGTTGGTTTTTGTTTTTTGCCTAGAAACTTGCTAGTTGAATTTCATTTGTGCCATAAAGAAAGCATTAGGGAATTTTTCTTAAAATCTGGTTGAATTGTTCTGATCAGATTTATTATGTTCCCCCTCTTCCTAGCCTACAGGGCTGCTTGTTGAAGGAGAAGTGTAGTTGTAGGGAGAAAGATGAGGAAAGCTGTAGCTGTAACTTACCAAACAATGCTCCTTTCCAGGAGGACATGATCATTTGTAGCTGAAGGGAGTGATCAAGTTGTAGAGGTTACCTAATCCTGCTCTGCCTGCTTCACTGTCTTCATGTCAGTGCCTCTTAAGTACACAGACATGTTGTTGGAAGACACCCGATTTCATGCAAATTCATTCAGAATGTCCTGTGTGTCCCTTCGCCTATCCAGTATGAAAAAGGACACTTATATGCAAGCTGCGCGCTTAGATTGCTTCCTCCGACTCACTCCTTTTGCGTGTTCTGTCTTTGTGTATACTGGTGTCTTTCGACATCTCTGTTTGCCTTTCTTTCTGTAGGAATCTGTCTCTATGGGTGTGTGCAGGTCACTTTGAGTGCGAGTCTCTTCCTGGGTGAGTGCTGGTCTCTCTCTTTGTGTCTGTATCTTGCTTCTAGATCCCTCTCTTTCTCTCTGTGTGCCTCCCTGAGTATCCATGTGTGAGGAAGTCTTTGTGTGTGTCTGAAAACACTGTAGAGCCTCCTTAAGCCTTGACCATTTTGTTCGGGTATGTGTGTACCTGTGCAAACTGGAAATGTAGGTGGTGTATGCAAGCTTTGAGACTGTAAACATTTGACTCCCACCTTTTTGAGTCTTCATCCTTTATGTTAAACATGGGGGTGAAGAATAGGAAGGGAGGGGGTGTGCAGAGGTTGTAGGAAAAAAGAAATCTGTGTGTGCAAGTGCCGATCCCGTTGACCCCTCTGAAAATTGAAATAATGATAATGCGCGTCTCCTGACTGCATCAAAGTATCAGCACATCAAAAGCCAGGAGGCATGAAATGCAAATGATAAAGTGAAAGCAGATGGATTGTGCATGATCGCCTGATGCCCAATGAATTTTAAAAGGTGCCGGTTTGCAAGGGGGGGTTGGGTGAGGGTTGGGGGTGGGGGGACTGAAATAAACACGTTATCCCTGCAATTTTTTTTTGTTCTTGACGCTCACTCCTGACAATATTTTTTCACACTTGAGTGAACACCCACTCCATCTCTCCCTTTCTCCCTCTCTTTTTCTCTCTCTCTTTCTCCCTCCTCTCCAACACCCCCCACCACCACCACCTCTTACACGTCTCAGGTCATGTCGCTGCAGCTCCGGTGGAAATAATAAGATATAAACCACGAGGTTGTTATTTGCATAGAAATAGCATGGAGCCCCAGGCAGCAAGGGAGAAGGACACAGAGATCATTTGTCTAAAATTTTAATGAAAAGTTTTGCTGAGGCAGAGATTTTTTGAAACTTTCTTTCTCCCTGCTTTTCTCCTCCCCTCCCCACCCCACCCCCACACCCCATCACTGATTTGACTTAACATGGTTCAATTTGAAGAGAAAAGGTTGACACACAACATATCATACTCCTGTAATACAGCAACATGTAAATTGTTTGTTCCTTTAATAGATATGAAGCTGGAGAGACACACATTCCCAACTTAATACATTGCATGTATGCATCAAGCTTTTATGGCCACACTCCATCTCACTGCACACGTGATGTTGCCTGTCGTTAGCCGACCTGTTTTTAATTAGTTTAGACCTTCCTACCTTTTGCTTCCAAAGACTCCTACTTTTTGAAGGTTTTCTTTTTGTAGCCAACAGTAGTAACCTGCAAATAAAATATAAATATTCTAGCATTTTCCTGTTTCTTTACTTTCAGTGGTTTTACCATACACTTATACATTTTATTCATGGGCACCATCCTTTGCCACTGTGTCTTTTGTTTCAAAACCAGAAAGTGCTTCCCGCATTTGTATTTTTGTCCCTTTCCCCTTATTATCTCAGTATTTGTATAATCTCTTTCCGTGTCTATCTTGCTCTTGGTTGCCCGTAGTTATTTGTAACTATTTGTAAATATTTGTAATATTCAGAATATTACCAAGTTGAGAAATGCAGCATCTGGGTTTTCTTAAGTGCTGCAGAAGCAGATTTGCTATGTGAACTAAGGCAGTGGGCTGGTGATTAGAAGCAGTTTGGATGACTTTATTTGAAACTTAGATCAAGAACATCAGTCCAGCTCCTTTCGACCTTCTGGGGTGAGCTAGTGGTGTCAGGGCCATTTTACAGATGGGAAGACTAAAACAGAGGTAAAGCGACTTGGTTCCATTGGCAGAGACTAAATCAGCATGAGAACATGAATTTCCATGTCCCCTAAGTTTCATTCAAGATGGGCTCAGTTCCCTGTGCTTAGTGTCCACAAGGCCTGAGAAGAGAAGATGGTCTGGTCATTTTCCTTTTTGTGCAAATGTCATGAGCATGATGATGTAATTAAGAGAAACTTCCAAGGGTCTGCTATGTCATGTCACCCAAGGTAGGAGACCATAGGTTTCTAGCTCTACAAACTATAGGCTGTAGGTGGCAGGTGGCTCAGAATTCCTCACTGAGTGGTAAGGCAGACCTGATGGATGCGACAAACTACCCTGCTTGAAGGGTGTCATGTTAGCCTGGCAAAGACAGCAACTATGTGCTCAGGGAACTGGTAAGATGGGCCCTTAAGGGGCTGGGACAGGTTTTGTATAGCCATAAACTGCTAAGTCAAGGCGCCACTGGATATATCCAGGAACTTTCAGATTTACTTCCCGCACCCCACTCTCTGTTTCTACACAACATCTTTAACATGGCATTTGGTGGTAGGTAGG